GAACTTCTGAGTGAACAGAGACATTCAGGAATAGGGGTTGAGATGGAGTTTGTCCTCTACAGATCAAAACCTAATGCTATCAGGCCAAACTTATCACTGAAACTGAACTTACTGAATTCCAGGGTGTATTTTACCTCAGTTTCAGCACTGCCCTAGGCAAAATCCTTCAAGCAATAACAAAGAACTCCCTCCATGCAATCACATTATCCACTTTTATTTATCCACAGAATGCATACTTCTTATGTTATTGTGCTTTGACTATTAACTTTTTGGAAATTAGCAGAGGCAGAAAACACAGCATGTCTAACAGAAAATTCATAACTAACAGAGTTCATAGAAAAATGTCATATAATCTCAGAAGGTTTAAAGATATTCAGTAGGAAAAAAAGTATGAGACACAACATTCTTATTTCATACTGATACTCTAAACTTGTCTTTTATTATACAAAACAACAAAGAAGGACAACATAAAGGGCTGGTAAATTTGTTGGCATGCAAACATCTAAAGCTTCATTTTTTCTTGCAGTTTACATGAGCAATCGAATTATTCTACTGGTCTGAAAAGACAGGCAAACATGTCCACTGGCACTGGTTTACCCAAAAAATAGCACCTTAAACTAATTAATATGATAGCTATCAATGAGTACATACAATTGCTGCCATAAGTATGCCAGCATGCTTCTGATTAGGTGGGTATCTTCTCAAACACAATTTAATAGAATTTATATAGAATGGGTTCTGCATAAACTAAAGAGCTATAAAAATTATCTTATTCTTCCAAAATGGAGTCCTCTTTCAGATTCATATAATCTATAGTTGCAGACTTTTCCATCTCATCCCATGGAAAAAAAAAAAAAAAGGAATTCTATAGTTACCAAAAGCCAAAAAAAACCCACCAAAAACAAAACCACAAAAACCCCCAAAACATCAAATACACACCAAGACCACTTAACTTGATGCTCTATGCTCTATTATTTGCAGTTTTTGCAGGCAAAATATTCCTTGGAAGGGCCCAAGTTACCATAAGACCTAATTTTCCACCATCCATTATCTGAAATTGTCAGAAAACCAAAGGCTGAAACAGCCTCTGGACTCTTCCCCAGCTGAATGAAAGGTTTATCAGTGGTATCACTGGAATGCAGATTTCATCATAAATCCTGTGTGACTTCAGGGTGTGTAGATTAATAAAGGCACATCATATACTGCAAAATTACAAAGCCTTTACAAGGAACAGCCAAATTCTCTTAGAGAACTCTGGACAGATGGCGGGATTTGACTATCACTAAATCAGCTTAGTCAAATACATTACTAGTTCTCCAGCTCAATATTTGCTGTGTATTCCCAATGAAACTGCTGAATGAAAAGGGCAATGTGTCAAGCTTACATAGCAAGTAAACATCAGAAATCCATTTTTCTCCAAGATCAAGCTCCTCCTGATGTGCTAGAAACTTACACAAATTACAAAAAATCCCAAGCTTCTCTTGAAAAAGATGCTCATTACAAAACACTGAAGATCAAAACCTAAACTCTACTTTTTTTGTGCATTTGCTATTTAATTAAGTGTCTGTTAAGCTGCTTCTTTGCAACTATGGAGTATTTGAGGAAAATCAGGAGGTCAGACTGATTGCCACAGAACCCCCACATCAATGAACAAGCATAATGGGCTTTCAGGTATCTAAAATAACAGGTCCCTTGAAGGCTAGAGTGCAGCTTCTCTTTGAGGTAATTCCATCAGCAAGGGATGAGTGCTTCACTTATCAGAACTGCCACATAATGCTCAAGCACAAATTAACGCTTGCAAGAAAAGATGCATGATTCTGCTTTGGTTTCTAGAAGGCAATTCTGAACTCTCGTTAATTTTCCTCTTAAAAGAACAAGGAATCGAAAGCTTTCTTAGAATTACCAGATTTGTAACCAAGCATTCACAGAGAAATGTATTTTTTCAGTACATAATGAAAACTAATTTGGATGGAAATCATACTCATTCATATTTTACTAAAAAATTATTTTCAAACATTTTTGCCTGTCCTCTGTGCAGTGACATTTCTTCTCCCTTTTCACCATAAGGTTAATACTCAGGAAGGAGAACAAGGTGATTATTACTGTGCATGACAAGGATTGTTTGCTGCAGCAATTACTCTTCAATCAGAATGTTACTTTTGTTTACACTCAACAAGGATAAAATTATGAACCCTAGATATTACCATATGCTAAATACACATTTTACACCGCTTGAATTATGAGCAGGCAACACACTTTAATACAGGTGTGGCATGGCTTTTAATGCAAAATTATGACACCTCTTTTGAAATCCTAACATTCTGTGCTATTAAATAGCTGGTCTCACTTTCATCTGCATGAGACAGGTGGTTAATTTTATTTGCATCAATACACTGAACTAACAGGTATATTCTCATTTGTATGACAGTGAATGCTGTACTCTTATAACCTGTGTATTTATTCCCCTGAATTATTATCTAAAATACAGTCAATGCTTCAAGTTTCCAATGAAAAGATTAATAAAAATTAGTTCCATAGACAAGTACTGTGATTTTCAATGGATGTTAAGATTTTTAATAGTGATACCGAGAGCTCATGAATAGAATTTACATAGACAGTGCACAGTCTCCCCAAAGCATTTCTACAATTGATTCCTTCTGTGATTTGACTCAGACTGAATGGTGTCAAGTAATTTATTCACCATTGTTTGGGACAGGCTATTTAATTCCCTTCTGACTCTTAAACAACGTGAGAGGTTGCGTGTCTCTCTGTGTTAGTGCATGGCCTGGTTAATCACACACAACAGGCCTGTGCTCACTTAGGTGGGTCTTTTCAAATAGATGGCAATTAAACCCTCCTACATATGAATCACTTTGCATTCACAGAATACTTTCTATATGAGCACTAAATATTTACAAATGAGGCTGGAATATTTTATATAATTTCTCCACCTCAGCTGAGATGACTAAAGAGCGCTATCATTATGTACATAACAGAGTTATAGGCAGGTGCAGATTAAACAAGGTCACCTTATTCCTTACTCCCATCCTCCTGTTGTGGCTATGGCACCTGGACTCTGAACCTGACATGCTGCTCATATTGCTGGCTTGAAATAAAACGTGTCCCAATTCTGGGTAGTTTACAGGATGTTTTGTAAAAGAAAGTTATGACTGTTACTCGTGAAGATTTTAAGAAGTTTCCCACATATCCTAGTCTGTTCATTTAGGCCACACTCTTCCACAGGAATAAAAGAAGTGAGATGAGCTGTGTCTGCTGAATTCCTAGTTCTGAAAAACAAAATCATCAACTTAAAGTCTAACACTGCAACCTCAAAGGAATTTTGGAGGAGGAAAAAGCCATGGACTCCTTCACAGCCTCCTTCAAAATGACAAAGAGAAGAGTCAATATGCTAATGGTCACAGCGCTGCTTATTAGAGACATTTTGAAATGAAGCCTTTGTCTCATGGGAAGCTCCAATCTGCTTTTCAAATATCAACAAATATACTTTCAGCAGATCAAAATTAGAAAACTCTTTTCCCATGGAAGATGAAATATAGCATATCAGACTGACTCTAACTAGACATTTTCATTTGAAGCAAAAAACATTTCTGCTTTCCCAAAATGAAGTATTTTATGTTTTCTTTAAAACATTTTACCAGTGGTTTATTATCTGTATTTTTAGTGTTAGGACCTTTGATCACCTTCCTTTTAAAAAACACAAAGCAAAATTGAAAACATATTTACTATGCAAAGCATATGGCACACTATATTACAATTTATAAACAAAGTACCAGATTTGTGAACTGAGATTTTGCAAATCCTGAAACAAATGCAGGATGCATTTGTTTAAACCAAACCACACAATGCAATAGAACGTGCCCAGTTCAAATTTCTGTACTTCCATCTGTTATGAATTACTCCTTACACTGTCCTGCAGAAAGAATATTTCTGGTTTTATTATTATTATTCTTATTAATACCTGAAAAAACCTGGATAGCCTCAGCATTTTACCATTTGTAGTTGAATTAGCTGGCCTTTCATTTTTTCTTTATAACCAGCCATCATAATGCGCAGTTTATCTATGAATAAACTACTTGGTAACAGTACTTTGTCACCTTCACATATATTATTGATGAGAAAGCTGACAAGCCGGCAATTACGATGCTCCACCACTTGTCCCATCTCCAGGCTCAACCTTAGGTACGTGAAAACTCAGTTTTACATTTCAAAGAAAGTGCAAAGGCAGTGAGAAAAGGCTGCCCTGCAAAGGACACAGAAATTGTATTCATTGCTGGAAAAGTTTATTTGAGTAGACTATATTATTTACTCTGTATGATAATAAAGGTTAGACTGTGAGTCCACATCTTGTTCAACTAGATGTTCCACTTAGTTTTGCATTCAGTCTTGGATTAAATCTATGAATCTGACATATAAAACAATTACAACACTAATCAGAATTTAGTATCAAAAAACACAGATTCAAATAACGGTCAAGATATAAATCAAGCAGATTTTAATGGATTTGTGTTTCTGTTGTTCCCCTGGCAAGACATAAAACAGTATTTCTTGGACTCCAAAACATTGCCAAGTGATAAATTAAAGGTCATATCTATTTATTACATGTTCAATTAGCCCTTTCTAAAGTAAGTATAACACAATAATTTATCCAACAGAAATTACCTACATTAAACATTCTTTAACATACACATATGTTTTAAAGAGATTAATATCAATTGGGATTACACGGGCTGCATTGCAAATCTTTAATCTTGGTTTTGAAAAACCACACAGCCTTTCTTTCCTGTATTTTTGAACATGAGACTAAATATCCCATGTTAAGACACACTTATCAGCTGCTAATGGAAGTCATAAATACAATAAACAATACAACTTTGCAATGATAACTCCACACTGTAAGTATGCTACATCTACACTATAAGTTAATGAAAAAGAGCTGAGCTAAATCAACGCTAACAGAGAACATAAAATACTTCTCTTACCTCCATTTCTGTGCAGTGTAAACGGCCTGATTTATCTGTAAGAGAAAAAAAAAGTTTTCAGATAAAGTTAGAGACAATGGAAGAATAAAACTAAAAAGTTGAGTCACTTCTCTTTTTTGAGTAATTGCCAAGTATTCCTTGTCTTACTTGAATCACACATTTCAATAATGTTTTTATTCTTTATGCATCATGGTTAACAACAAGAAGGCCCTACCCTTTTTATTTGGATCCTTTATAATACTGGCTTTTTAAAAGATGTGTCTTTGATGCCTGGCTTCATTATTTAAATCATATGATTGATGTTTGGCCATGGAGGGAACATGAAAATATGTTGGCTTAAATTAAGCAGTAACAAATAGTTATTTCGAGAGAATAACCAGCATTAATTCATAAACTAGGGAAAAGCCACTGTTTCATCTGATACTTCTGGGATTTCAAAGAGTTCAACAGAAATAAGAAGTTCAAGCAAATTAAAGTTAAAACATTACTGTGCTATTTTTGTAAGTCCCGCTTGTCAATTTTTGCATTTCTTCCGAGTTCAGAAACATCACTTTGGAATTTGTATAATAAAGAAAAATTAAGTTTCTGAACTGTTTCATTAAATTGAAATCTCAATTTTCTGAATCACAAAACAGTTTTATACCAAAGTGTCTTGGCAGCTTAACAAAACAAAGACTGAAATTTCACAGCACATTAGAAAAGTATCATTTCACTAAAAGTAGCAAGTTTATAATTTTGTATCCTTATCAGAATAGGGTGAAGGAATCCTGACAGGATGATTTCCTGCTGGAAAAAATTTATTCAAAAAAAGTTAATTGTTCCACAGAAATCTATCCATTTGAAAGGGGATCTACCCAAAACTTTAATTTCAAAACACAGATATCAAATTTTACATTTTTTTTGTCCTAGCTTCATTGCATTCACACTGCTGGTTTAGAATTTGCAGCTTTGGAACCAATTGCTCAGAGCCTACAGAAGACATAATTCTGAGACCTCACGCACTCAAAACCAAGAACAGGATGCATCTGCTTGACTGTGCGTACTCTAAGAGCACATGTTCAGGTAATGATTAGGAGGGATTTACTGCAATAGTTTGGAAATAGTTTGTGATTTGTACCCATAACTGGAAGGACTATTTTATCAGACTGGCTGACTAGCCCAAGGAAGCTCAACCAACTGGTTGGCGAAATATTCGCACAGAGGAGCGATCGCACTGACTTCATATGACAAATGTGAACGGCATGCAAAACACTCAGCTCTGGGAAGAGTCACCTGCATAGAAAAAAACCTCATTTTTCATACTGAACCGGTCACCTTCCTTTGAAACTAAAGGTTAAACACATCCTGAATGAGTAGGGAACACCCACCTAACAGAGTGAAAGTTGTTTGCTTTCCTTTTCAACTGTTGCCAAAACAAGCTAATGCTTAGCACTGGTGTCTGACATCAAAACTAAGAGCAGAAGAGTGACTTAAAAAGGCTTTTGCTTCTCATATTATCTTTTTTAAAAGGACTGGTACCTCTGGTTCATGCACTTTCAGATCCACATAATAGACTTTTTGGTGTTTAAAATGGTAACAGTCACGCGATTATTACAAACTATAAATAGGAGAAATTTATTGAGAATGTTTTTTTAACTCCTAGGATTATAGCAGATTTATTAATATTATGAGCTACTTTTGTGAAATCAATTGACAGGTGACCAAAACAATGTATCTTTATGATAGAAGATGATACAAGATTAATTCAAAGAAATGTAGTCAAGATAGGGGAAGAAAAAAGCACATTAATGTCTTTAAAAAGACATTACCTTTTTTAAAAAAATTACTACTTCATTGTATATTGCAGTGCATACAGTAGGCCACCAATGTTTGCAATCATTGATAGTTTAAAATATCTGGACTTGCATCTCCTATGGTCTAAGGGAAGAAGAGCCAAGCTGTCCACTAGATCCTCTGAGTAGCAGCAAGTACTCATTGCTGCACCTCACAACATCCTGATCTGAGATGTGCTGAGATCTTATGAACATCCTTTTAGCAGAAATCCCAAACAAGTCCCGAAGCACAGGAAACCAATAAATCAGCCCAGACCAAAATAAGAAAGATAAAATTTGAATTCTAAGAGTAACAGCTGCAATCTTGCAGCTCCTTTGATAAACTTCCATGAAAACTGTTCCTCAAAGAAAAGCACTCAAACTCCGGAGTGTTTTTTTTATTATTAAACTCAATTATTTATTGCTATTTACACCGGCATTTTAATACCCAGTAGTACTGTCATGAGTACATGTGCTGGGGCAGGAAGGGGGAATAACAAGTCTTTCATGCACCCAGACTGCTGCAAGTGACTGACTTAGAACATTTTAATATACACTGTATTATGGTAATTATTAACCATTCCATATGTCTCTGTAGCCTGAGACCAGCTATAACTTAGCAGATTTCCCAAAGCTCTTCGCAGCCACTTGTGGACTCCCTCCACTGGGAATTTACTACATTTCTGAAGAGATCATTAACAGTACTGTTGATGCACTCACATCTATCAAGACTGAAATGAATTTGCTAAATTTATATGGCTCCTGCAAGCCAATTTATTTATACTGGCTTTATCTATACTGGCTGAGAGTAGAAATTTCTTCTCTCTTCAGCAGACATGATTGAAAAAGCAGTAACTCATAACTGTAGCCTAAGGGTCACACTCCCTTCATTAGCACTGAAAAAAAAACCTCCCCATGTCATAGAACAGTCTGTGTCTGCCATCAGAATGCAGTGCTTCTCTGGTAAACAGGTGATGCCTTAAAAAGCTATTTCAGCTGCTGATTCTTAACATAAATGCAGACTTTTCCAGACTTCAAAACCATTCAACTAGATATTCATCTGTGCAGCATTTTTACCATTCCTACTGCCAAAATATATTCAACAGTAATTTACCATAACAGATTTCAAATAGAAACTAATGCATTCATTACTAGTAAACAGCATATCTGTCAACTTCAGTTTATAAACAAACTACAGTTTGGAAAATTAGATAAGTTTTCACTCTCAGCTTGTTGAAATGTAAAAAGTGAACAGTTTTTGAAAGAAGGAAAGTGACTTACATTGGAGGTTTCCTGTATTTCTAAAAACAGTCTTCAGAGAGACACATTTGACAGAAAAAAAAATAAAAGAAAAGAAACCCCAAACCTTCACATGCATTTTTTTGTTCTTCAAAATTTCTATTTGAAAAGTATTCTTCTGTCAAACTCTCAGCAAGAGGAGTCATGACAAACTTTCCTCAAGCACTAGGGAAGACTGTCTCAATCCCTTAAGGCAGGAGCTCCCTGTACTCCTTCCAATGGTAAGAACTACACCTTTAAGACTGAGTTTTAAAAGCAAAATAGGTAACTCAGTATGATAGAATGGACTGACCCAGGTTTTGTAGGACAGCACATGGGATATGCCAACTCATCTGCACTCCTCTATCTGAAGAAAAATCAAGCTACAGAATTGACTCTAGTGATGTGACACCACAATCAGCCAGCCACCACTTCAGCTATATTCAGCTGGTCTAAGAGCCCTGCAGCTCAGAGCATCTCCCTAGCCTTCCTCTAATGTCTCAGACTCCTCTGCTCACATCCACAGTCAGTTCCTTCCAGACAGCTTCTTCCAGAATTGAAATGATAAACACTGATTTTTCTGGCCACAGTGTGGCTGATGCACACATTGGCAACAAACCTGAAACTCATTTCATGTTAAAGATTAATATTATAATTAAATGTCACAGCCTACTTCTGCAGGTCTAGAGTGAAAACAAGCTGCTGTTGCTACAACAACAGAACTCAAGTTGCCTGCAGGAATGACAGACACTGCCTGTATGTACCAAAGGACAAAAGTGGAAGAAGAGGATGAAGAAGGAACATAAGGGCTAACCTAGGGAAAGGGAGCAAGGAAGAACATGAGAGTCACTAACTCAAGTTCCTTGAGTTGAATGGTCTTTAGTCACACCCCTCAAATTAACAGTAAACTGAATTTGTATTTGCTTTATAGCTTTTACATCTTCAAGAGCTTGTCTTTGCCCTTAAGAGAATGAGGACTCCTCAAGTAAAAAAATAATAATAAAAAAAAAATATAAAATTTTAGACTCACATTTAAACATCCAGAAACCGGAGTTTTGGTAACTGGAGATTTGGTGACTAATCTGAAACCAGTCAGATAAGTTACCAAAAATGAAAAGTTAATCAATACAAGAGTTAAGATGAGCACCAATAAAAGGAAAGGGAATGAAAGAAGAAAGCAAATGCAATCATGCCACAGAAGGAAAAGAGATAAATATGCAAAGAATGGGATTTGTAATTAAATGGAGATGAAAATACCGATGTAGCAGAAGTGAACCAAGCTGAAGACAGACAGTGAAAACTTGTATAATAAAAAGAAACAGGAAAAAAAACCAAGTGAAAAAGATAAAGACAAATACAGGCAAAGGACATCTTAGAAGTAAGACACATCAAGATGCAGGGAAAAAGGTCAAAAAAAGTGAGAACATGAGGAAGTGGAAGGAAGCAGACTGGATTAGGAGAGGTAACCAGAGACCCTCTCAGAGCAGGAAGCACAGAGACCCAAGTTCTGTTCTTAAGAAAAATACTTAGGCTTTGAGGAACAACATATCCTTCCTTTAAACTGTAATTAGAAGCTAACAAGAAATGGGATGACGTTTTAGAGCTTGTGGCTTTTTGGATATGACTCATGATTTCTGTATCAGACTACAGCTGATGACTTTGTAATTATATGCCTCATTTTTCTGCATAGGAAAGAGAAAACTAAAAATTTTAAGAGAATACAAGGAAAATTCTTAGAGAGATTTCTAGACCAATTACAATCAGGACTTTCCTTTCCTGTGCAAATCTTTTTTCATGCCTTCTGTTTTCTCCATTGACGTTACTCTTCATTTTTAACAGTAATAAGCAATTTTTGTCCATTGCACAAAGCAAAGGTAATGACTAAGAGGTCTTCTGTATTAATACCCTGTTAAATCTTGTAATAAAAATATTTTAAATTTCAAATTAACGAATCCATGTTACCTTA